CACACACACACACACACACACACACACACACACAGAAAGCAGTCAGTTTTCTTGTCTGGATAAATAACAAATCAATAGTTTTGTTGTTGTTGTTACAGTTTCTGTCCACTGGGGGGCAGCAGTCAGACGTCAAACAGAGCAGCTGCTGTCAATAACAACATCTGGATTGTTTATTTGTTTACCTGTTGATCAACACAAGTTTCACACATGGTTTAAACGTGCTGCTGCTGCTTCTYTGAGTTTCTGTGGAAACAGGAGAGAAAATATAAAATATTTCTAACAGCCTGGTTATGTCAGTTTAAACTGTTTTTAATGAAAATCTTTTAGAAATAATCAAAACAAACTTGTTTATAAACAACAAAATATGAATTATTTTATATTTTAATTGTTTTCTGTGACGTTTGTTAATATTTCTCTTAAAAACAAATGTAAAAATTCAAACTTTGTTTGAGACATTTTCCTGTGGATGATTTCTCCTGTGCTGGGGCAGAATGTAATATCTGATGTTTTGACACCAACCTTCAGATCATCCCACGTTGGAACCTCGACATTTCATCGACGAGAAGGTGGTCAACGAGCACCACCAGGACTACATGTTCCTGGACTGCATCAAGTTCATCAACGAGGTGAGAGCATCTCCTGCTTTTATTTCCTCACACAGATTTAYAACATTTAAACTCTTGTTCTGTGTCAAGTTACTGTAGGTAAAGAAACGTTTTGAGTTCCTGAAACACCTCAGTGAAAAACAGAAATATTCTCTGCTCTGTGATAAAATCTGAATTTATTCATAATAAATAAAACTAATTATCTTCATGTTTTATCAAATATTTGGTTAATCCTAACAAATAATTATATAAATTGTGGTAAAAAGTTTGACATAAAAGCAGCAAAGTGCAGTGATTAAAGATTAAATGTTTCAATATTTTCATTTCTGTTTGTGTGAAAATGATTATTTCTCAAAATATCAGAAAAAATCTTTTAATGAAGTTGATRTTTTTTATCAAACCTGCAGAGTTTCTGTGTAAATAATGTTTGTGAATATTGTTGCAGCTGAGTGTTTGTWTTGAGGAAGATGATGAGGATGAAGGGTGGAGCAGGATCTGGGGGGGGGTGGGGGTCAGAGCTGCAGCTACATCCTTTTCCTCGTTTCCTTTCCTCCGCTGACCCCTCCCCTCCTCTCCTCACATGAAACATCTTTATTTTCTGCCTTCAGTTAWTTTCTCTCTGTTTTAGTATAAAAGTGTTAAAACTATTATTTCCTGCTCAGTTAAAATAATATCAGATATTTTAAATGAATATTTTGAACTTTAACGAGTTGTCAGATATTTAAAATCATCAGGAAAGTTCATTTATTCCCTGGTTTGTTGACAGAATTTACTTCATCAAGTCTGAGTTTATTTCAATTAAATGTTTGATGATTTTAAATTMATCTTTTTCACTTTTAACTCCAAGAACAACAGAATGTGTTCAACAGCTAAAACACTGTTTTACAGATCTGTCTCCTTTAAAGCTTTAATTTCATCTGATGTCAAACCTGTTTGTTTGTTTGTTTGTTTGTGTGTTTGTTTGTTTGTGTGTTTGTTTGTTTGTTTGTTTGTTTGTTTGTTTGTTTGTTTGTTTGTTTTTTTGTTTGTTTCTGGTCAGTTTACTCTCGTGCAGTTTTCAGTTTCTTTACAGAAAAATGATCTAAAAAAAAGATGTTTCAGATTCATAAAAGTGAAGATCTGCTCCTCTGAACACCTGAAGGTTTTTAAACATCAAAAATTAAAAATAATTTTAATAAACTGTGAACCACAGCAGAAAAACAACTAAATTACATAAAAATAATGATGACATCAACAACAACAACAACAATAATCAATATTCCTGTAAAGTTCTCATTAGTTAACTGAAGCAGGGTCCAGCAGGGTCCAGCAGGGTCCAGCAGGGGGCGTCTGATCAGTTTTAGTTCCTGGTTTAGGATTAGTCTGAGTTTAAATGTTCTCTGTACTCAGAGTTAAATTAACTCTGGGTTGAAGGAGTTAGTCTCAGCAGCCATCTTTACTCCAAAACCTAAATGTTGTCTGATCTGATGACTCTCAGCTACCACTCCTCGTGTTAGCTCGGCTGTTGGACCGACACACGGGGGTTCAGCTGGGTCGGCCATCTTGAATCCCTGTTCCTTTCATGGCGGGGTCGAGAGAAGGGCCAGATCAGGACGTTAAAATCACACCTGTCAGGTGTAATGACTAGTTTATTCATATGGTTCATTAAAAAAATTATTAATTTCATTAAAAAACAAAATGAAATAAATACACAAATCAAATTCAAAATAAAATGAAACGTAACAGAAGAAGAATAAATCTTATAATGTCCGCCCCTTTTACCCTAGAATATATTCAAACAAAACAATACAAATAAAAATAAAAACATCAACTCAAACAACAATTCATATAAACCTTCAGAAAACTAGCTTTTATCTGTCTCTGAAATACACAGATCTGGTATTTTAAAGGTCCTCCTCCAGACCATTCCACAATCCTATACCCTGGATTAAACTATACCCTGGATTAAACTGTACCATGGATTAAACTATACCCTGGATTAAACTGTACCATGGATTAAACTATACCCTGGATTAAACTGTACCATGGATTAAACTATACTTTGGATTAAACTATACCATGGATTAAACTATACCATGGATTAAACTGTACCCTGGATTAAAGTGCACCTTTCTCTCAAGCAAGTAGGAAAATATGGTTTCACAAACATTTCCATCCCATAAGTTAAAAACAACTGTCTCTCTTAACAAAGTTTACCTGGATGTTGGAAGGTAACATGTTTCTGTGAGACTTGTACATAAACAGTAAAATATTATAACCAACCAAATCATGGAATTTCAAAATTTTCAGTTTGCAAAATAATGTATTAGATGGATGGTTGTAATATTTTTTAGTAATAATTCTTACGGCTCTTTTCTGTAAAACAAAAATCAGATTTGTAATTGTTCTGTTATCTTTACCTCAGACCTCAACACAGTAAATTAAATGTGGAACAATGATTGAATTATACAACACAAGCAGAGCTTTGTCATTGAATAACTCCCTGACTTTATACAGCACTCC